TAATATCGATGAAATTTACCCTGAAATATGGCGTTGAATCCGATGTTGGCAGGAAATTATGGTTTAAACATTTACGTCTTGTCGGTTTAATGAACCGAGACTTTTTGGAGTGAGAATGCTTAATCTCATCGTTCAGTAGGCTAACAACTTCCATTAACAATGTCATCTGCCATTCAAAAATAGACTAAATTCCATATAAACCACTAGGCAGTTAACATAGATGTTTCCACTTTGCAAAGCAATCTGTTAGTACCTAGTAAACTGATCCCCATTTGCTGTTTCATCCAGACCGATAATGTATGAATCTTGCCGCACTGTCATCCAAGTATCAGCCTACACCTAAGGCAATATGTAATCTAAAACATGTAGAAGACAATTCAGAAAATAAGGCATAGCGATAGACTCATTGATGACGTGGCAATGCAGACATATTAATAATATGTACTGAAGTGCATATGCTAATTAGCTTCAGCCTTCAGGAACTAGTCCACATCGGTATTAACAGATTACCATTTTGAACGGCAACGTACACATATGAACGAACATCGCCAATCTGATACAGTATACAGTTTTAAGAAGAATTAACGTTGATCACAGGAAGCATGTGAGGCCATTGAAACAACAACAGCTTATGTTCCAGAATACCGGTTTCTGAAGTGCCACTGACGGTGAGAAAGGTATTGATCTAGCATATATTAATAGGTCAAATAGGGCAAGCGACAGGTAGCAATATCGAAAAGTGTAAGTTTTCAAAGTGTCATTTTTTAAGTGTCATTCAAAGTAATTTTAATTATTTTTTTTGTCCGTTCTGCAGGTGAGGCACGTTCGAGGGGTTAGAGAACCTAGAAGGGGTGCGAGAGCTGGCTGCGATGATGTATTGAGGTGAAGTTACTGGTCATATATCAATGACATGGTTTCTGGTGGCGATAAGACATAATCAGTAAACCGAATGCCCATTTTACGGAGACGGATCAGCTAAAATTCACGAGGATTAGCGCGTAATTTGTGGGATGCAGCAATATTGAATCGCTAATAATCGTTTTGCAGACGGAGCAAATCGAGTAGACAGGTGCTGACTACCTCATCAACCGACAAGACGGATTTGTAACTAGGTGCAGCACAAAAAGCATGAGCGAAACAAATCAAATTAAAAATGAGGGATTTTGTCATCAGTTAAAATTGCGATAACTATTTCTAGTGATAACCTCGTCCATAACCAAAGATTGAGGCAAACTTAATCAGAGTAGATGAGATGCTTGGTGCAACGGTGAATTTTAGAATGCCATTTGGCAATGACAATAATCTCATGTCTGTTCAACTCGTTTCGCATTCTCCTGTAATACGGTTTTAATTTTCTTCGTTTGCTTGTTTTATCTAACTGAGGAATGTTCTCGGATGACAAGGTGAATATACGTGATGCTTTCCATGCTGCTTGTTGTTTCGTTCAAGCCAATGCGATAGTCTTCACCAACCTTCGCAGATCATTCTTCTTGCAGAATGATTTTTAGCGAATTTAATTGCAGTAACTCTTTCATGTGAACACTTTCACTTCTTGCAACATCTCTCTCTTTACCTCCTGATAGAAACAGATCACTCGAGTGTATGATGAGGTTTGGACGCGGCAAGGAACCGCTGACGTGTAATTGGTGACACCGTTTCAATGGGCAGAAACAGAAACTGTCGCACTTCAATTAGGTGCCTCATTGGCCTTAGATGCTCCACCAGTCGAATGAATAAACGAACAAAGCATGCACTAAGAAAGCTGGAGAAATCAATGGAAACTAAAGCTCTAAATATTGGACAAAGTTGGCATCGATTCCACTGCTTCTCGCATACAAAACAAGCGCTCTACCATTTCGGCTAGTTGCCATATTTTGAAGTTTAGACAAATCGTTATTGGGTGAAAAAAAGTTTTCGTGGGAAACACCTTTGCTTTTGTCGTAACATGCTGTTGTTCACCAAACCCAGTGACGCAGTCTTACGCTCC